AAAAAAAAAACTCCACTTTTTGAAGACATTAAATGAAGTATGAAATATGTTAGTTACCTTGGGAATGGGATTTCAGTTTGAAGACTAATTAATGGTTGTGTGATGCTTGCTGTACATGTTCTAGATTGTAGACATCTTTATGGAACAGAACATGGTCCAGCAGTGCACAGCATTCTTACTGGATGCTTTAAAAAATAACCGTCCATCAGAAGGTCCACTCCAGACGAGACTGCTTGAGATGAATCTGATGTCAGCGCCACAGGTAGCAGATGCTATACTTGGAAATCAGATGTTCACTCATTATGATCGTGCCCATATTGCTCAGCTTTGTGAGAAGGCAGGACTACTGCAAAGAGCTCTGGAACACTACACAGGTACAAGCGTGAAAGATATTTGCCTCAAATACTCATCATGTTTCTGGATATTATCCATCAGCCTGTTTATATTTAAAATGCCATTCTGTTTTATTTAAAACACAATTTTCAGAGACTGGATTCTGGCTTCATCTTCAGGTAAAACCTGCTCAGTTTGGCCCAGTCGATAGAGCTAATCCCAGTCTCTGGACCAACACCAACCTATTTTTATTTAAAACACAGCATTTCAGAGAGTGGTTTCTGTCTCTGTCTTCGGGCCAAACTTTATTTGAGCAAAATTGATAGAACTAGTCCCTATACTTCTATAGATTTCATCTGAATTTCTTCATATGATGAAGATTTAGCTATAAGAGATGGATATAGGTTGTTTCCATAATAACCATGTTACTAAGATATTACTTCATTTTTAAAAGGCAGGAATAAAATGCTATATTGTCAAGGCTTTGTCTGTGTGATTCAGAGAAACATGCACAGAACATGGCATTCAGTGAGCAGTATATCTGTTTTTGTTTCCACATTAGCATGTATACATGCATAATTTACGCACTTCTTGACAAAAAGATGTGGTGCATAAAATACACAAATACTGCTTTGCAGAATGTGATTTTACGTGTTAGATTGAGGCAATCACAATTTAATGTGATTTGTTATAATGTTATATTTTAGCATCCTGTTGCACTGATTTATGTCCATGATTTATTCTAACCATCTTACAGTGCATACATTTATTCACCTTACTCTTCTCTCCTGCACTACATGTTTCAGCACAAAAGTGCCATCTTCAGGTGCTTTTCGATGTACGTCAAACTACTTCATTGCATGCCCTGTTGTCTTTATACTGAAATATATATTCATCATATATATTGATAAATTTTAAATATTAAAAATATTAAAACTGTTCAGGATTTGTCATCCTTATGTCGTATCTTAATACGCGAGTCACGCCTATCTTCTATCGGAGTATTCTTCCTACTTTCGTGTGTGTATTGTGCTTTGTGTTGTGTCTTGCTCCTGTGACTGGGTGTGTTGTACTGCTGGGCCTGCTGGGTATGTGTGTGTTATGTTGATATGGATATTTGTGCCTACAGATTTCACAGCAGTTGCTCAGTGAAGATTGGGACAAAAATGACCCTTGATTAAACTTAGATATTGAAAGTGTAATTTTCATGGAGAAATTCATTTAAATCAAATGAGATGTAACATGGCATGAATACACATGTCTGTATACTCTGCCACACAGTTTTTTGATGAAAATTGAGATGTACTTGACCCATAATGGTTAAAATACTCTATAGCTACATTGGAAAGAATTTTGTCAACTTTTTTGCCTCATTATAAAGTGTAACACTACATTTCCGGTTTAAAGCATGTTAGTGCCGCAAATCAGTACAATTGTGCTCACTTGCCACACCAAACGTATTTGAGATAGTACTGACATCCATTTATCAGGAGAGAATGTAATACTTCTGTGCCTGTGGTGTGTGACATTAAAATGTTCTAAGTACAGGTTGTGTTAAGCTCTATTTGTCATGTTTTGCAGATCTATATGACATCAAGCGTGCTGTAGTACATACCCACTTACTGAATCCTGAATGGCTGGTTGGTTATTTTGGTACTCTCTCAGTGGAGGACTCCCTGGAGTGTCTGAAGGCTATGCTGACAGCGAACATCAGACAAAACCTTCAGATATGTGTTCAGGCAGGTTTTTATTCTGACATTTGTAATGATTGTATGTGATGCTGTTGCCCTGTACCATCATGGAATAGGGAATTTTAAATCTCCTGTTACTGTGGGGTGATCAGCCAGAGTTTTACTTTGGTGAACAGTTCATCAGTTGAGAATAGAGGATATTAAGTCCTGTGATACTGTGGAAGTGGCAGCCATATTTTAACCTGAAGGGAATTAGTGATATTAGTACTGAAAGAATATTGTCATGTGTTAGTGACTATATGCAGGATTTGAGTTGGCTCTTGAATTCATTGAATCCATAGTACTCTTGACATCAAATAATTAATGACACACTCATTATTCGACACAATCTAGAAATAACCACTCTTTCGTCGCTGTTTATTACTTGGTAGCACCCTCCAACAGTGGGGGTTCCCTTTACTGCGTCCATTCACAGTGGCTGGTGACTGCTAGCCATTAGCACCATTCCTGTCTGTCAGTGGGGTAAGTTGCTGGTGGCCCTCACCTCAGTCATTCATGGTTCCAGGTCCCATGGTACTCATAGCCATATTTTTCTGTCTCATGACTCTGGCAGTCATGCAGCTAACCATCCAGCATTTCTGTTGATCAGTCTGGTATTTGATGCTGCCCATCTCCTCAGTCATTCTTGATTCAGGGTCCCATGAAACTGTCATATATTTTTCTGTTTCAAAGCTGGGAGTGGTGTAACTACTAGATCCTCTCCCAGCATTCTTGGTCTGGTATAGTCTAGTCATGTCATGTCATTTCAAGTAAATTACTGCTAGCCCTTATCAGTACTGTCATCAACAGGACTGGCATTCCTGGTCGAATTAGGTAAATTGCTGCTGGATCTTGCCAGAACAATCTTGGTTTTAGGACCCCTGACCATATTTCTGTTCTTTCCAAAACGTTTACATGTTCAGAAATGGGGCCTCCTTTTCAATGAGAGGAAGGATCTGACTACTATTAGTCACTCCCCCTCTACTGGAGGCAACTTGCTCTCCTCATGCTGTCCCTTGGTCCTTCCTCTCCAACTTCAGCAAGGACTGCAAAGAAAACACTGACTCCTATGGTTCCTCTATTGTGTGCATATTTGTTGCCTCATGTTTACCAAGCCATTTCTTTGCAGTGGCCGTCTCCATGGTACTGCTCTGGTTCCACTATTCTGGCTTTCATGCATCATGTCACAGTATGTTTGTTACACAGTCACAAACTGAAGCCATGAGAATTTAATCAATGTATACTCAGAAAAGAAAAATTTTAATTTTCTTTAGTTCAGTACATGCTGTATTTTTCGTCTTCACTATTTTCAAATAAATCTATCCATACTGTCTCTCTCTCGTGCATTTTGACAACATGCTGAGTTTGCATGAACATATTATTTCAGGTTTTGTATTCCATTTCGTTGCCATAATTAGAGTTTCTCAAAATTTTATGGCTNTGCCTCTCTCTCATGCTTTTTGACAAGATGCTGAGTTTGCATGAACATATTATTTCAGGTTTTGTATTCAGGAAAGCTCTTCCATTTCGTTGCCATAATTAGAGTTTCTCAAAATTTTATGGCTAGTGCCAGTCAAAACAAAGTAAGTGTTTGACGTGACAAAACCTTAAACATATGGCTGCATAGTTGTGTTCTATGACACGTCTTCCAACCTAGGCCAAAGGAAGTTCGGGACAAGGAGGGAAAGATACTGCCCTGTGCAGTAGAAATTTCATGATGCACATTTAATAATGGTTAAAACTTGGAGAGCATAAGCTGCCCACAGTTAGATTCCAGAATGCAAACAATCTCCTACATACGGGTTAAGTTAATGGGACCTTTAGTAGCTGCTACCCATAAATAACTGAAAACAAAAGTGCAAGAATTGCTGGTACAAAAATTTACAGGTAAACAGTGACAGCTAGTTGGGAGTTGCCTGTTGTGACAAATGTGTTGGAAAGAAGCATTTTTTGTCACATTTGTGGTGGAAAGTTGCAAGATTGCCCATTAGCTTTCCAGTGACTATTCATCAGTCTGAAAATAATCTAAGAACCACTGATTCGAGTTTTACGAAATGGATATTTGGGGGAGTTTTAATAAAATCTGTCAACACATTCCATTTTTTGTTTTATTCTGACAAAACTAACAGACACTATATGGAGATCTGTGTGCATCTCTAGCATAACTCACTAAATATTACATTTTATGGCAAATAAACTTTTTCTGTAAGTCTTACAGATTTGGAGATACTGGTAACTAAATAAAAGGAACAGACGCACAAGAATTGGTACATTATGCTTACATTTCCTAACTTGTTTCTCATAAGAATAGGAAACACGCTTGAAAGAAAGAGAACTAAAAATATACACTGTTCAGAAGGAGTGTAATACAGATACATAGCATGAAAATGTGATTTGTGTTGTAGAACAAATACACACGAATATGTACTGTGCAATATGCCCATTACATGATACAAAGTAGGAAAATGTCCAGGTCCGGTAGGAGTCTAATATAAGTGAGTTTTACTGTATGATGCAGCATTTTTGCAACGTGTGAGACTAGTCTTTCTTTGTTCACTAAGTGTAGGCAGGAAAGACTGATAAATGAAAGGTGAAATTCTGTTTTAACTGATTGATTAGAAGTGTATTTTTTTTTCCAGATTGCAACGAAGTACCATGAGCAGCTGACAACAAAAGCCCTCATTGACCTTTTTGAGTCATTCAAGAGCTATGAAGGCCTGTTTTATTTCCTAGGCTCAATTGTGAACTTTAGTCAAGATCAAGAAGTTCATTTCAAATACATTCAGGTACAGTAACATGAAGTCAACAGAATTCCACTATTATTTGTTTGCGGATTGAGGTTGTTGCGTGGTTAGCGCAAGGGATTCCCATGGCCATTAATCTCGGTTTTCTAGGCCAGAATCCTCAGTATTAAGCTGACGTAAAATGCCTTTGGCTGAAGATTCGCTTAAATTTTATTGCCATCTTTGATTTATGACTGATACGTGTCTGAATATATCCTCTTTCAGTATGAAACACTATATAGTAATAAAACTGAAAATGTTTATGCTGGCAAAGGTATGAAATGCCATGACTCAGTACTGTATACACATATGGCTATATGAAGTAAATTGAGAAAAATTTAAACGATTTGCTCTTGAGGTATGAAGCTTACATTGTTTGATCATTGTTTTGATTGCAGGCAGCATGCAAAACTGGACAAATCAAAGAAGTGGAGAGGATATGCCGGGAATCCAACTGCTACAATCCAGAAAGAGTAAAAAATTTCTTAAAGGAAGCAAAGCTTACAGACCAGCTTCCTCTCATTATAGTGTGTGACCGTTTTGACTTTGTACATGACCTTGTGCTGTATTTGTACCGCAACAGTTTGCAGAAGTACATTGAAATATATGTTCAGAAGGTGAGTTACTGCTCTTCTTAATTAAATATTCATGCAGTTCCAATGTAGAGTTTTAAATTCATATGTTGCTTACACTGGAATCATGATGTGATGCTTTTCAAAAAGACAATTGCTTCTGTTGAATGCTGCTAATTAATAATTTAAGCAACAAATTACAGTCATTGTAAACTGTTAGATGCCGTTATTATGATATTTAATTACACCCACTACAGAGTCTGTTTATTTTATTATCTGAGCAGGACAGAAGAGAATGTATTTCTTGTCCACCTGAAATTATTAAAATCTAGTTGTACATGAGTTATTAACCCCTTTGGGACTACAGTCACACTAGCATGACTTTGTGTGTACGTGTGCATGCAAGTGCACGCAGACATCTCTGTCAACAGGCTATTGATGTGTATATGCATTCCAAGATTTTGTTGTTACAAGATGACATTTTTTGGTACACAGGGTTAGACATTAACATTGCATTGGATCCTGATATATGGGATGTTAGGATCAGTGGTCATCATACTGATTGCACCACATTTGAATAAAGGTAACTCATTGTACAGTGTTAACTGATACACCAGTTACTGTGACCATTTCCTGTGGTACGGTGTGAGGCAATGAAAAGATATGTCTCCTCTGTCATGAAAGCTTTTGCCTTGAGAAGTCAGTGACCAGTGATTCAAATATGGCTGTGAAGTGGTGTGACAGCAGGAAATAGGAATCCCTGGAGAACAGAGAAGAACCAGATGTGAAGCTAAAATGTATTCTGGGGTACAGCAATAAAATGGGCACAGTAGATCAGACTGATATGCTGTTCAGGTGTGTTCAGTTCATTCATAAATCTGTGATAAAGTACAAAATACTGATGCTTCACATTCGTCACATCAGAACTTCTGAGTGCACATGCACTGTATCTCATTCAGAATGGAAAAATGTTTCCACTTAGAGATTTTCCAGTGAGCATCACCAGAGGGCTTCTGAAAAAACGTGAAGGCAGAAGACACTCATGCAGGATTGGAAGCTGATGGAGTAGCGAAATCCCTCAGAGTATGACAGACTTTTACTTTCCAGGTTATATATATATAGCACTGGTTGCCAAAAGAGCACAAGAAGGAGGTGTCATGTGAGCTCATCTTGTGTTACAAAACCTGGGAAGAGAAAAGAGCCAATATATATGCAGTGGTCAAAAGCACATTTTTTGTATCATGTCTGTTTGAAATGATTGCTTAACCATAACCTGTGTGAAATGTCTTTCATTTCAGGTGAACCCCTCACGCCTTCCAGTTGTTATTGGTGGTCTTTTGGATGTTGACTGCTCAGAGGACATAATTAAGAATTTGATATTGGTAGTCAGAGGTCAGTTCTCAACTGATGAATTGGTAGAGGAAGTGGAGAAGAGAAACCGCTTAAAGCTACTACTCCCATGGCTTGAATCTAGAGTTCACGAGGGTTGTGTTGAACCTGCCACCCATAATGCACTTGCCAAAATCTACATTGATAGTAACAACAATCCTGAGAGATTTCTCAAGTGGGTATTCAAGTTGTTAAGCATGATTTGGGTTCAAGTGTTCTTGAAGTGTACTTGTTCTCTCTCGTGCTTATTTATTGTATGATCTGTTTTATTGTATTTTCAGAGAAAACCAGTTTTATGACAGTCGAGTAGTTGGCAAATATTGTGAAAAGCGAGATCCACACTTAGCTTGTGTGGCATATGAAAGAGGACAGTGTGATAGGGAACTCATCAGTGTATGCAATGAGAATTCCCTCTTCAAGTCAGAAGCAAGGTAATGTGTCAGTGAATAGCATTTCTTATTGTTTTGTGTTTTCTTTCAACTGAATATATCCAATCAGACAGGACATTGCATTAAAGGATTTGTACACTTAGTAGTTTCTATTTTGATTAAGGAAGAATACCACAAAAGTATAATTAACCTGCTGTACATATTTACAAAATTGGAAGCAGAACTGGCAGTAATAATGTGCAAGGATCTTTTATTACCTTCACAAAAAGAATTGTCTGCATAGGTTCCATAGTAACTACATTTTGTTTCAGGGAATGAATATTCTGTGCTTCCTGTTTATAATGAGATGTAATTTAAATATAGGATCAGTTTTCTTTTTCCATGCAAAATATAGACAGTGAAATAGTAGAAGTGAAAAAATTGTCTTCTGGCATTTTATTGTCATCTTATAAGAAATGGTTTTCTGTTTTTATGTTAAAGGACATTTATTTTGTTCCTTAAGCATTTGTTTGTCACAGGTATTTGGTGCGAAGGCGGAATCCTGAACTTTGGACTGAAGTCCTGAATGAAAGCAATCCATTCAAAAGACCTTTAATAGACCAAGTAAGTTATAGTCCTGTGATAAGGTTCCTAACCCTGACACAATTTCAGTTTTAAAAGAAGAGAAAGAATGTATGAAAGAAATCGGTGTTATTGAGTGGTTTAAATTTCTGGCTGAAGTGGTTCTGATGGTCATTGAACCATAGAAGCTTAGCCTCAGCGTAATAAATGCTAAAGTCCAGCAAACGATTCCTGTTGATTGTTTATCAGCTTCTCTGCCATCTGGGAAGTATCATTATTATTTTAGGCCCACATGTAGAAGAAATCCCAATACCCAATTGCCATTGATGATCTTGAGTGGTCAAGAAGGGTCTGTATAATCAGAGCAGTTGGCAAGTTTTAGAAATGCATCTAAAATCAAACTGTAGTCACATTTAGTCTTGGGTGCATTTTGCTGCTTTATATTTTAAGACATATTGCTTTGTTGTATGCTGTGTCATTGGACGTCAAATGATACGTAGGTAAGTCAGTAAGTTAGTTACAGATGGATATAGAACGTAAATAAGAGTACTGATTTGAAAAATGCTTTTATTTCTCAACATAATCTCCCTGTACCTTGAGGCATTTGTCCCATCATTTCACAAGCCCCTGAAAACCAGCAGCATAAAATTCTTGGGGCTGGTGCTTTTCAGGGGCTTGTGAAACGGTGGGACAAGTGCCTCAATGTACAGGGAGATTATGTCGAGAAATAAAAGCATTTTTCAAATCAGTACTCTTTATTTGTTTAAGTTCTATATCCATTTGTAACTTACTTATTGACGTACCCTCATACCACTGAAAACCTGCATAGGAGCTTAGATGTTATAGTACTGTCACATGTAGGGTAGTACACACAATGAAAATGACAGGTTCTAGTTCGGATGATTGGATTTATTAGCACCTAGTTTATACACCCCCTCTTAATCACACCTAAATACAGTGTTATGACTGATTTATACAATTTACAGTTCACCGTTGCACATGCAATAGGATTCTCTGTCTTCTAGTTGTTTTTTAGCAACTGAACTCAACACAGAAACTATCACTTCAGATCACTACAGATATTACACATAAAATCTTTCAATCACACTTTAAATTCTCACAGGTCGACATCATGTATTCTTCTGTACTCCTTGTTCCACTTCGCTCTGTTTGCATGTTTCTGCCGCTACAATTTCCCTGTCATAACTCAGGACTCTGTCACACACAGTCAGTCACTGTCACTTATAGTTCCGAGTCGATGTCATCTCATGATTCTACCACTACTATTTCACTCTCATAACTGCTCCCAACTGAGCTATGACACTTATATATCTGAGGGACCAGCATCAACCAATGGTAAACGCTTGTCACATGACCCCTACTCATTGTTTCTGTGTGATGTCACTGCACATCCACAAGCTAATGGACACACAGGAAACATGTCATGTGATGGCCACGTACTGTTGTGTGATGTTACAGCACGCACATTGCATAGCAACAGTCTGTCCAAAAACGTAGAAAACACTGTTCCTGAACTGTTCACTGCTTGTGTATTGCGAGCATTATCTAGCAACAGCTGATGTTTACAGATTAACTGCTTAGCATTAGGTCTGTATGCCACAGTACCGACTTAAGAAATTTTAGGAAGTGTGTAATTAGCCTAATGATTGTAGTGTTGGTACAAACACTGATAAACATTAGCTTACAGTGCAAAATTGTATTAAATTTAAAATTTTGTGTCATTTCTATTCAAGCACAGCCCCCCCCCCCACCTCACCCCAATTCATTTATGTTCATGTTATTTACATTTTTCCTCCAGTGCTGAGGTGTTAAGTATGATTGCATAGCATTAGTGAATGCAGTAAATGCACCCAGAAGAATGAATTAAATGCATAAGAATTTATGAAACACTTTATTTGCATAGGTGGTTCAGACTGCTCTCTCAGAAACCCAAGATCCGGAAGATATTTCTGTAACAGTAAAAGCCTTCATGACAGCCGACCTACCCAACGAACTCATTGAACTTCTAGAGAAAATTGTTCTTGACAACTCTGTGTTCAGTGATCACAGGTAAGTTTGAACTATATTGTGCATCCAGGAAAATAGATTGTGCTCACATAGAGAAGATACTTCCGAACATCTTATAAAGTGATGAATGCCGTCTTCTGGGATGTGACGCTATGTAGATCTGCAGTCTGCAGCCACCTGCTCAAGCTGGTCCCTCGCTCGCAGATTTTTCTACCCTGAAGCTGGAGGCTTCGATTCGCACAAGATCTACACAGTGCCACGTCCCAGAAGACAGCATTCTTCATAGTCACCACCATGAAAACCTCAAATCATGCATCTTACAAAGTGATCTTCCTTTATAAGTTATTGAAGTCAGCACAACATTGTTTCTTCATAATACTAAAAGTACTTTGGGCTGGAATGTCAAATTATAAATAAATGAATGGAAACTGTTTTCTGTTTTGTTATAGAAGACTTTCACAAGAATAAAAATTGTCCAAGATCTTAGAATTTATTTCACTGACAAGTAGTTCTTACATATTTTCATAATCTCTTTCTCTCTGTAAGCAGTGTTAAGTTCATGTCATAATCTTTCAGAAATTTTACTTTCTCATCTTGTGTTAGTGTTTTTGATTTTCATGATTGTGCTGTAAATATAATCCCACATCAGCAGCCCATTGCAGCCACCAATGCCGTTGTCTGTAATGTGACTAGAAATAACGATAACGATAATAATTAGAACAAACACCAAAGAGAATGTTACACTTTACAGAGTCAGTCAGTTTGCTTCCCTACTGGGTTTGCATATTATTAAATTCTGCAAATTCCTTCCATCATTTACTTGGACAGAGGTGATGCTTATCTAAACCTGGTGACCATTGGGATTAATATTTACAACATTTTGTATGAAGTACTCTATAATAACATAATCACATGATTAATTTCTCTCCTTAATATAGAAACCTTCAGAATCTACTGATCTTGACTGCAATAAAAGCAGATAGAACACGTGTAATGGAATATATCAACAGGTTAGATAATTATGATGCTCCTGACATTGCCAACATTGCAATAAACAATCAGTTGTATGAAGAAGCTTTCGCTATATTCAAGAAGTTCGACGTAAACACATCTGCAATTCAGGTAACTGTTCTGTGCTGGATTTAAAGGAAATTGTTCATTTATTTTCACTTTAATTTCATGCTTCCATTTAGTTCTGCTAAGGAAAGTGCATCAAAAGTAGGTCAGTTTGTTCCTGTGCTTAATCCAGCACCCCACAGTGAAGATGTCTAAGAGACTGAAGGTGTAGTTCCACACATTTTTAACCTTGGCCTCAGATTGGAAGTGAGTATTTGGCTTCATACCTTAGTCACTTTACCCCCAGGTAAGGTCCCTGGAATGCGTGGATGGGAGGCTGGAGGAGCTCACTGCTAGTGTACTTATGGTGACAGAGATAAACCGCTACCCTTCCTGGGAATTGAACTCCATTGCCCAGTTTGTATTCTAATTGCTATAATTGAGCTGTCCTGGCTCCTGAAACTGCATCTGGACATAAAATGAATACTAATTATGTTGGGTAGTCATAGCTTACTGTTGTTTCAGTAATGTACGATTTTTTCTAGGTTTTGATTGATAATGTCAGCAACTTAGATCGAGCATATGAATTTGCTGAAAGATGTAATGAGCCTGCAGTGTGGAGCCAACTGGCAAAAGCTCAGTTGCAGCAGGGTCTAGTGAAGGAAGCAATTGATTCTTTCATTAAAGCAGATGACCCATCAGCCTACATAGATGTTGTGGAAACTGCTCATAAAACAGGTACTGGTTGGTTAACAATAAATTTATCACATCGTTAGACTGCGTTCTGTATAATACTTTAATTATATGTGGTAAAAGATGTTAATGAGTTACAGTGCATACCAGGTTTGTTATATTTAATACTTTGGTCATGAAATACACAAAATGTTAATGGGTATTCTGAGTTACTGCTTGTTCCATTTACCTTGTAACAGTTTTTTTATTTTTGGCACCATGATGCAATATGCGATATTTGCCAGTATATGTCACATAATGGTTAAGGAAGGAGGCATTAAGAAATATTTTCTGCAGCACAGCGGTTAATAAGGTACATTGTGATATTTAAGGCTGTGTTTGAGGAAAAGAAGCAAGTATTGTATACCAGGAAATACAGTAGTTTGCCGTTGTGGTTTAGCAGTCGTATTTATAATCTAATACTGATCAGAATTGGTCATAGTTACTGTATTACGTTTACAAATCATGGCTAAAAAAAATTATATTGGAGAATGATAATTTTATGGATGCTGGAATTGCAGAAAGCTGGGAGGACTTGGTTAGATATCTTCAGATGGCACGGAAGAAGGCACGAGAATCATATATTGAATCTGAACTGATTTATGCCTATGCAAGAACTAACCGTTTGGCTGACCTTGAAGAATTCATCTCTGGTCCTAATCATGCCGATATCCAAAAGGTACAGAATTACTGTTTGTAAGTCTGTTCTCACATGAAATGCTACAAGGCATCACATTTTTTAAGTGCAGTCAGTAATTTGCTGCAGTAAGTTTCTGAAGCTGAAAGGTAATATTGTGCAGCTTTGATGTGATGAGATGTGTACTCTGCTTGTTCTGACAGGTACTCATAATATCTTAAAATTGGTGATGTATGTACAAGAGGTGTTCAGAGGGTAAGTTTACAAGGCACATCTCACAATCCAAGGAAATAAAATTACCAAGCATATGTTGGAGGGATGTATTAGTCATTGCTGGCACGCATGTCAATATATCCATCATCTGCTGTTTGTTGTATGTGTGTTAGTTGAACGTGATTGCGCAGCTGAAACAGTGGCTTGGTGAAGAGAACACAGTACTTCAACTAACAGGGAATCAAAGAACTCATCCCACAGTACGGTGGAAGTGTTTCAGTCTTTGTGGTGGCTATGTCCAGAAGTATTGGGATGATAGTGCAGTTGCCCTGCATTTTTCATTTCAGTGATTTTACTAAAACCCTTGGATCATATGCCTTGTGAACAGCCTTGGTACAGAATGATAAGTTTTGACTTTATAATTTTATACAGTAGAATCACAATATGATGAGTATGACATATGACAAGAACTTTCTTATAACATGAAAACACATAAGTAATGTGTTAACATTAATGTATAGAAAAGATCTGATAAAATAAAATTGGGGGAGGGGCACTTCAATCATCATGAGCAATTCGTACCCAGCCAGAGATTTTCTTCACAACTTCATGAACAGACTGTAATTGCAGGTTTGATACCCAAGCTGTTTATAGCTGGCAGTTCATAAAGTTACTGTTACACCTCACCCTGAAACTCTTTCTTGCTTGTAACAGGAAAGACAGCATTATAAAATCTGAAAACCGTATAACTGAAAACATTTTCTGTCACCCAGAGGTAGAAATGCTCAACACATAGCCATTTTAACTTGCAGTAGAAAAAACATGAGCTGACAGTTGTAAGTACTAGAAATTGTGTGAGCATGAGAAAATTGTCATTTCTTGGTTCTGATAAGAAATTTGTTAGGAATTTTGAATTATTCTTTGTTGCTTTTGTATATACATGGTAACCACCTCAAGCAGCTTAGGAAATTGAAGGGTTAGGACAGACTATGTTCTTCGTTTTGTGTCTTTATTGTTGGTTCTGTATATTCCGTTCATTGATACTTTTGTATTTTAGGCTGTCTTTGACCATATAATGTAGATTTCATTTGAATTTCTGGTTAGCTGTAACATTTTGGAGTGGCATGGTTTAATTGCAGGTTCTTAAATCACTCATGATTCAATTTGGCATCTCCGCAGGTCTCTAAAGTCCAGTCTTTTTAACAGTTTTCAGATATAAATTGTATTTATGACTGATATCTTGCCAGTAAACATGATTCATAATTTTCACAATTATTTATTTTTCTTCAGATCGGTGATCGATGCTTTGATGATGGAATGTATGATGCAGCCAAGCTGTTATATAACAATGTATCAAATTTTGCTCGTCTTGCTATTACTCTTGTTCATCTCAAGGAATTTCAAGGAGCTGTGGATGGTGCTAGGAAAGCAAACAGGTGGGTAGCATAAATATAAACCATTATCATCATCAAACATAAGACAGTTCAGAATGTCACTAGACATGGATTATTTCATAATTTGACTTGAAACTGGAATGACACTTATTTTTCAATAGGATGGTGGTGCTCTGTATTTCATTGTATACATTTAAACACCAGATTGTTGGGCTATTTGAATGGAAGGGATGTTCCAAGCATATGGTTTGCTGGAAATCATCCAACTCCAACTTCCTTAAAGATTCATAATTTAGAGCACTCGCAGTAAAGAATCACTGAAGCCACTGTAACTGGTACTCGAGACGTGCCAGACTTTAAATATGTTTCATGAGTGATATTGAAGACTAAATGATTTATGGACTTCTGTTTATTATGCATTGGGGCCACGATAAAATAGGTACATATGACTTAACATGAAAAACATTGGTACATTACCATAACCATAATCATAATCAAAAACTGTCATGTGCATACTGTAATTGCAGGTTTGCTTCACAAGTTATTTATAGCTGGTGGTTAATAAAGATAGTTATTTGGGTCCCTAGTGCCCGTACTGTTTGTTTTCTTTAAGTGTTGAAGACTTCACAGTGGAGGTCCTCTGCAGTTATGCAAACTTTGGTCATAATAGGCACAGTGTTTTATGATGTATAAGGAACAGACACCCTATTTTGTATAAAGAGAGAAAAACACATGCATAATTAACTTTCATGTTCTGTTCGCCTCTGATCTATATATTATTAGTTTGAATAAATATGGGCAGGTAGATGGTCACAGCACTTCTATTGTATTAAATATAATCTTTCAAAATATCTTCTTTTTCTTTTCCAATGTTTGTGCATGTATAAATGTAATCCATTTCTTTGCTATGAGATTAATAAGTTCTGATTGTGTTCATTTCAGTTATTAACGCACACAGCAGTGATTTAATGAGCGCTAATTGTAATTTATTGCAGCACACGAACCTGGAAGGAGGTGTGCTTTGCCTGTGTAGATAGTGAAGAGTTCCGCCTGGCCCAGATGTGTGGCCTTCATATTGTAGTGCATGCAGATGAACTAGAAGACCTAATTAATTATTATCAGGTATAGTTTAGCTTATACTGCACAGTTTCTTTCTTTCCAGTTTTAATTGTATGTTCATAAGTATTGGTGTGTGATGCCATTGATCACAGTGGTAGTTCAGGAAAGTGCCAGCCTTATGGTGACAGCATGAAATAATGCTGATCAACATGATGTGCACAGAGAACAGTGTGTGTTATTTGCGAGTAGGATTTTACCAAATTTTTATGTTAATCAAGTTCAGTATGAGTTTTGTGTAACATTTGTGTGCAGGAAAGCTCCAACAAGGGCTGCAGGGAAGAGTTCAGTTAAATTTGAAATTACTGGGACTGGTGAACAGTATCAGAATATATTGAACGTGTCCAGCAGACAAGGGTCACAATTCAAGAAAGTCTGAAAGATGACTTTCTCAATAGACATTCAACATTGTTTGATAAGGTGTGAAATCATCTCTGTATCAAAATGAATGGAGGGGAGTAAAGCTGGACGTTTATTTTTATGGCCCTTTTCTTCTGCTCTCACAGATTCTGCAGTTCAGAAAGTATGTTACTTATAGATTAGGCCCACCCCCATCAGAATGCTACATAAGCAAGCAGAGTATGCATGTGTGGACCACAGAAGTACAGTGTGCAATTCTTAAAGATATTGAGGTTACTGACATCTCAGAGTCCACAAAGAAAGCTTTCTTTTGCTTTTGTAACATGAATATTGATCTTGATAAAGTATTATTTCAGCAGGACTGGGCTCAGTTGCATGCAGAAAATGTGATGCTTGATGTCAGCATTTTCTTGTCAGGTTCTGTATACTTTATTCCCTGCATATTTTGGATAAGGCCAATCCCCAGCTGTCATACTCCCGAAATTTGGACCATGTATTTTTTCATGAGGATCCTGATTACAGAAACAGTCAATGCAGAATTGAATCGCAGCTGAAGCAAGAAATTTAAATATCTCAGATCATCATCGCTTAACACGATCCGTTAGGAGATTGCTGAGATCACTATATAATGTTTTGGATGCTTGTGTGCGTATTGAAAGTGTTCTTCATTTGACTTGCACACTCCCAAGACTTCTTTGTTCACCGACACCAAGAGATATCATATAGTTCTGTAAATAAATTCAGTTAAAACTGAATTAATTTTAAAGCCCCTGTATTATTAGTCACATGGATGTCTGTGCCATTTAAACAACAGCTTGAACTGCAGGCATCTCTTTTTGTGGGATGTATAGTTTTAACGAATATTTCCATCAGTTATCCGTAGACATAATTTTATGCTTTTTGTATTTCACATAATAATGAATTTGATGCAAGCTGAGTTAATTTTGAACTGTGATACAATTACCAGATTACCTTTGAAGCTTTTCAGAGAGACTATAAAGTAACTGATCCTGTATCAAACTATTGATTTTTGTCACCAGGATCGAGGCTATTTTGAAGAACTGATAAACTTACTTGAGGCGGCACTGGGTTTGGAGAGAGCACATATGGGCATGTTTACAGAACTGGCCATTCTGTACTCTAAATACAAACCTGCAAAAATGAGAGAGCATCTGGAACTTTTCTGGTCTCGAGTCAACATTCCAAAGGTTGGTTTCTAATGCAGTGTGTGCTAATACCTGGAGGCCATTCTTGCAGTTCTTTCCTTGACTGAAATTCTGGGAACTGGCTTGGCCTCTTTGAAAATATCTACATACAAAATGATTCAGTTGAGATGAAAACTTGTTACTTGTGCTAGCATAGCAGCAGTTTACTATACAGACATGGAGGTAACCATGGGCTGACTAAGGGCTGGTACATGAAAAGTTATTTGATGAATTTCTGATGTTTCCGTTTAGGATAGCACAAGGAGAAGTTCCTCAATTTGTTATATATGTAGATATTGTATGGCATTAAGTTTTTCAGAATCTACAAAGATGTTGCTTAGGTTGTAAGAAGTTCATGGAGGGTCTTACCTCAAGTGCCTTGTCTTTAGATCACTTGATAGGTGCCATACCTTTCCCACATCAGGTCTGTTGTCACTTGGGCGTTTGCGCAGAATTCCATATGCATTTGTGTCTCCCCACTCGTCTGAATATCCGATATTTTCCCTCCAGCTGCAGATGATGAATGGTTCAGCTTGACAGGGTGAGGAAAAAATGTGTTAACATTTTAGGTGTTTTGGATTTCATGTTGTGTGACTCAACAAGATTGTGTGGAGTTATTTCCATTGACAAGCCTGTAATATGAATACAGTTGGAAGTTCATTAAAACCACATTTTCATGTCAGGAAATGGAAGAAAATCTAACATAACATTGTTGCAATATGTAGTGTATTACCAGTAGGCCTAAGGATGAAAGTGTAACGCTATAGATGGAGATCTGTATAGAGCAGAGATTCTAAACTGGTTTCACTTGACATAATCTTTAGTCTCAGTGTTAGACATCACATACCCCCTTCCAGTGGAAATTAATCTTAATCACATATTACCAGAACATTAAGATTCAGTGTAAAGTGTTTAGTTCATGGACAGAGAAAGTAAACTTATTAGTGTGAACACTGCTCATGCTGCTGTTTACTGCCAACCAATGTATCAGTTCTGGACAATGGTTCGGAGAGAGCCATGCACATCATGTCCATCTTTTAGTTTTTCAATTTGGATTCATGGAGGTAAGTTGTCACAAATGGGACTAGAACTTCATAAGCTTACATGGTCAGAATGGGATATGCCTCACCAGGTTAGCACCAGAATTGATCCAGTTTTAATGATTCAAAATGAAAATTAAGTTTCTGGTTATTGTGGAAATCATGAGTCTCGTCTTTTGCAAGGTCATTAGAACTGATTTCTTCACGAGAAACAACAAAGGGGCTCCTTACTCAAATGTCAGGTATTGAGCTGGTTGGAATAATTAATTGTACAGGAAGGAATGTAAGGATCAGTTTTACTTTTTCCCAGTACATTGTCACGAATATCACTGTTGATATGTTCATATATACTTTTTTTATATATTTTTAGATATACTGTGTCATTATTGTAAATATTGGAAATTATATATTTTCAATGCTTGCAAGTAGTTTGGCTTTGTATGAAACTATGTCATGGACCCCAGTTGAGAACTACTAATGTAGAGGTAGGAATATTATAGTGGTAGAAAATAGTATAATTTTAGTTAGGTATGCTAAAGTTGTTCCTACAATTAAATAGGTAAGCACTACGCCATGACATATGGGAGAGTGGATGTATGTATCCATGTATTCTTGACCTCTGCACTAGTTGGAGGTGAGTGGTCTGCTTCACACCCTTGCCAGTTTACCCCCAGGGAAAGAGCCCTTTGTATCCATTGGCCATGATGCTGATGGCATGGAGAGGAGAACAATCTTGCCCTTACTGGAATTCAAACTCTAGCTCCTTGGCAAACCAGCCTGTGTCCAGTCGCTATGCTAACTGCACTATTCCAGCTCCTGTATACTTTTAGTGCTGAAATACGCAATACACAAGTTGGTGAAGCATTGAACTTAATTAAATGCAAGTGAGTGCCATATAAATCTTTGTCACTGAGACTATTGAAGAACCTAGAAAAAATAACACATGGAGATGTAATTATGCTAGCCTGATAAGCAGTTGAAAATGTGCATATTAGGCACTCAACACATCCCTGTGAACATATGTATTAGCGTCAGTCCATCTTTATGTATCTTGGGCTAGGGTTACATTTGAACAAAGAGAGGTAAGGTGTTGAACTGCTGGATGGCAGAGGGTCAGTCCCTTTTTTTAGAATGTTCTGGTCAACAAAATGAACCAAAAGTTTCTAAAGAAAGGTACTATTTAATACAAAATGCAGTGTCTTATGATATGTGCATATTCTAGAAACCGGCCTGTGTTTGTATCAGATGACCGGCTTTAGTATTTTAGTGGTGTCAGACTTAAGTTTTTATTAGTAGGGAGTGAATCAGTATGTTCTTTGTAGACTTCATTGAATTTCTCAGACTTGTATTGTGTTAAAGCTGAACTTTATGTTGAACTCTCCAGTAAACTTAAGATATATGCCTTATTTCAGGTATTGCGGGCGGCAGAACAGGCACACTTATGGGCAGAGTTAGTGTTCCTTTATGACAAATATGAAGAGTATGACAATGCTGTGATAGCCATGATGAACCATCCAAGCGAAGCATGGAGAGAAGGACATTTCAAGGACATCATCACAAAGGTATGACTGAAATCCTGCATTAAACGAACGTTGATGCATCTGTTGCAGAGCTCTTGAAACACTTAAAAGTATACAGATGAGTACAATTTTCCATATTCTGTAACAGTGCCCATTTAAACTCTGACCCACCCCACTGGTACTAATTAATAGCACATGTGTCAAAAAAGAAAACTGTTAAATGCCATGGTTTAGTAAGGAACAACACTATATCCACATTACACAGTGTGAGAGACCATGATGCTGAGGATAGGGACCAGTGGAGGGCTCTTGTGAAAACTGTAATGAACCTTCGGGTTCCTTAAAATGCTGGGAAATTCTTGAGTAGCTGCAGAATTGGTGGCTCCTCCAGAAGGGCTCAGCTCCATGAGTAAGTAAGTAAGAAAGAGAGACCATGATATTTTTGTCAGGGTTCTTTGTTCTACAGTGTGGAGGCAAAAAGGTTGGTTTTTATACTGCTTTCTTTAACATGTTCGCTGGCTGGTTTTTGCTGTTTTCTATGATTTTCTACATGCCATAGAAGATTTCTGATTAGAGACAGAAAGTAAATAAGAACAGATTCTGTTGTGGTGCACTTCAGTTTGTGGTTATGCAGATTCTGGGCGCACAGATGTTGCTGTTGAATTGTAAAATAGGTCACTGATGAACTACAAATTTGGCAAAAGAAATGAAAAAATGTATTTACATCATTATGCACACTAGTGGTAGTACTCAGGGGAATGCAGTAGTGCAGTTGGTTGATGCATTATGTTACAAGCCGGAAGGTTGCGGGTTCATTTCCCAATGAGGTCATTGGATTTTTCAATTTACCTACTACACTCATCCACACTATGGCCCTGGGGTCAACTCAGCCTCTACCAGAAATCTTCCTGGGTGTAACATGTAAGGCTGACAACCTCACTGCCATCAGTGAGCTGACTGTCTAGAGAAAATGTGGGAACCTAAATGTCTCTCGACCCTATAAGCCTCCATGACCTGTTACAGGAATAGCTTTACCTTGTAATTAATAGTACTTGGTTCAGTAAGGAACTTCAACATAAACAGTGAACATGTGCAACACGTGAGTCATTTTTCATAAGGTATCACTGGGTGAACGGTATTGAAGCAAGGTGCAGTAAGTAGTCCATCATTGCAGTTAGGTCACTGATGGAACATGTCTGTTCTATCAGCTTGTCTGTATGGTATTTTTCCTTATCAGAACATATATTGCATCTCCTCTGAGTATCATTCTGCCTTTCAGATAAAGTGGGTATTCTTCTTGCCTTCAGAGAAATGAAAGCAGCAGATTTTCATTGGAAACCCTTTGTCTAGCATGATGTCTTAAACCCTGGTTATGACCAGTTTCATTTTTATCAGCTCCTGGGTCTCTTGTCAGTGTCTGAATGTGATTCATGATCGGAATCTTCTGCGTCACTTTCCTCCAGTTCACAGTTTTGTGAAATTTTGGTCACTATCAGCAGTCATATTTGAAGCACAGAATGCCTTCTGCATAACACATGGACTTGTACTTGATTCAGCTGTCATTGTATATGGACTATTAGGATTTCCCTTGGTATTGGAAGTAGCAGCTGTAACTATATGAACAAAACAGCAGGTTCAGTAAGACATGCATTTCTTGTGCTCATGCCCGTGCTCCTCAGGAGACTCGGCTGGCTTTTACTTGTGCTTGTAAATCTTCGTCCACACTACACTTGCTCGCCAGGCTTCGGCATGTGAGGATCCGTATATTTACTCATAATGTGTATAGGCTGTAGTCATATTTTAATTTATTCACTATAGTTTTTAAAACTAAAATTTGCTTGTCTCGTGACTTGTCATATCATCCACATTACTTGCGAGCATGAGTAAAGTGGACACACCTTAACAAAGCTCTTGCATGTGTACAATCATTGTCCTGTGATGGACAGAACCTTCAAACATGTATGCACAACAGTAGACTGGTAAGACACATGCTGGTTTTTGTACCACCTCCATTGTCATGAAGAGGTTACATGGAAATTTCATTGTGTATGGGAAATTGTTGACTATACTGTTGATTCAAACCAGTAACAGCTGAAAGTTTATTATAAAATCAACTTATCTTTGTGTTAAATCTGGAATTCCTGTCAACCCACCCATTGTCTTTGTTTTTACTGTTATGGTTATTAACTTGTTACAGGTTGCTAACATTGAGCTCTACTATAAGGCAATCCAGTTTTACTTGGATTATAAACCATTGCTTCTGAATGATGTATTGCTGGTTTTGGCACCTCGCATGGATCACACAAGAGCCGTCAATTTCTTTACAAAGGTAAGACATATGAAAAAGATGTCAAAATGTAAGTCGTTAGTACAGGTCCAGAGGAAGTAAAAGGCATGAGCTACATATCTGTTGGCTCAGCAGAATTACTTGGATGAGAAAATTTTGGAATATCAGCAATATTAGGAATCATTTTGTCAATAGCTCATGATCAGTCTGCATGCCAGAGAATTGTGACAGGGTTAGAGAAGCAGTTCATTGACATGTTATTAAACATACAAGCAGCAGGTTTTGTCCCCCCCCCCCACAAATCAACTAACAAATAATGTATCTTTCTTGCTACGTGACATTCTTTAGAATCAGAACAAGCAGATGTCTTCTTAATACCAGTATAGAGTCCTTTAAACCTGTGTTCTGTGCAGTCTTCTATCCAGTAGGTATGGAAATTCCGCTACGTTTGATGGGCATTCAGTGCAATCAGTGCCATGCAGAATCTAGCTTGTCCGTTATGATGATACAGGAGATTAATATAAAAGAAAAAAATCTTAACCCCCCCCCCAAGGCACTCTTTCTTCCACTGCTGGAAATGGAGAAAACCTAAATAAAAGTTAATGAGGCCTTTTCATGCAACCTATATGAAAATATTCCAAGTCCTGCACATAGGTAATTTAACACTCAAGAATTTATACTTAACAAAGTTGAGGCATTGTGTGTCTTACAGTGAATTAACTTACTGGGTATTTTTAGTCAGCCATGAAGCATCTTATGAATCATCTGTAGTAACCACAGAATCACAAGCCTCTTTATTTTTTTACTATTACATATTTGTTATGAGATGTGCAGTAAGGATTCAGATTTTCGTGTTAACTCAGAATACTAATTACCATATTTTACAGTGTATCTGTCCTTGTCCATGATGAAGCTGTTGCTTGTATAAATTACGTTTTGTGGTATGTAATGTGGTATATGAATTTATTCCTTATTTGTTATTAGCAATGAAATTTGACCAACAGTTTTTACAGTAGTTGGTGGTGGTTGCTTAACATTTAATATCTCTGGGTTCTTTCACACATACATGCATCATTTTTGTGACCTTCAGAACATGTTTCAATACCACAGTTACAATGAAAGTATACTCATTGCAGTCCTGGTTCCAGTGCATTTCTTGTGGAAGAAAGAAATTGACCTGAATGCAACCCCATGCCTCTAACAGCAAAATTGTAAATTTTTACAAGTTTTCAACTTGTGTACTTACACTGCTGGTGTTAGTTTTGAAGGTACATTATATGACAGTTGGATGAGCACTGTGAACTACATACATAGATAAGCATATTGAGTTGCAAGGATGATGCATATTTTAAAGGACAGCAAAACTACAGGGTGAATCGTATAGAACCGGCCCGATGAATTTGCTAATAATTCCGCAGGTGATGCATATAACCGCTCACAATTACGACATAATAATCCGTGGGCCATGCTGAGTCGAATGGTGTATGCATAATCCAGCAAGTGGCAGCCCTTATGCTGCATGGTCAAGGACAATCCTGAAACATGTGTGCAGTGTGCAGGCGACAGTCATGGAGTACACTGTTGAACAGCGAGTGTTTCTCATGCACACATACTGGGTGACAGGCTCAATTGCATACACACAGTTGGAATTCAGGAGGAAGTTTGGAGTTCGCAAGAAGCAGCGAAATCAACTATACAGACCTTGGCTCAGAAATTGGAAAGGACGGGGACACTTTTAAGTGAACATGGTAGAAACCGCCCAGAAATGCCAGAAGAAACGATAGCGATTGTGCGGGACAAGTTACTACAGTCTCCCAAGAAATCATTATGATGTCTAAGCCAGGAAACCGGGTATTCTTATTCAACGTGTCAGCAGGCTGCAAAGAAAGTGAATCTTCGTCCATACAAGATCACCAGTGTTTACGAATTGGGTGATGTTGATAAAGATAAACGGGTACGATACTGTTTATGGTTTCGGGAGTTCGTGCACAATAACCCCAGAATTTTGGATATCACTTGGTTTAGTGATGAAGCGTGGTTCCACCTATCAGGATACGTAAACACACAAAATTCCAGGATCTGGGCGTCTGAAAACCCACATGAGATTGCTGAATCACCACTACACCCACAAAAAGTGGGTGTGTGGTGCACCATTTCTGGTTTACGAATCATTGGACGGATCTTCGACACAACCATGGACAGCACCTTATACTGCCATATTTTTTATGATTTCATGCAGCAGCTGGATGATGTGGAACTTACACAGGGTTATTTGCAGCAGGATTCAGTGACATGCCACATGTCCAACATGTCCATGGAACTGATTGAGAGCTTCTTCCCCGATCGTGTCATCTCTAAAAAGATGTGGCCCCCAAAATCCCCCAACCTTACCAGCCCAGATTTTTTTCTGGGGTTTACTGAAGGACAGGGTGTATGCAAACAAACCGTGTACGTTACAGGATTTTAATGACAACATTTCAGATGAAATCAGGAACATCACTGAAGAAACACTGCAGCAAGTCACAGTGAATATGCAAACACGGGTGGAGGCGTGCCTACTTGAAAACGGCGGACACTTTCAACACCTGCTCTGATCACGGCACACAATCCAAGATATGTGATGCGTAAATTACTTAAATGTCTGTATGGTATATTTTATATTACAGCTCATTTCGTCGGGCCGGTTCTATATGAATCACCCTGTATAAAAACAAGCTGTTTTCAGTAGATTTGTTTCATGCTTCTGTTAGTTTCTATATACCCATTTTGCGATTCTGATAAAAGTGAAATTTAATGTCCTATAAAAAAATTTGATTTATGGAAATCATGCCAGTTAATTATTAGAACCATGAAAATAATGATCATAGCTCTGGTATTGATAAGAAGCACTGAATTTGTCCACACATAGGTAAATCATCTGCAGCTAGTGAAACCATACCTTCGCTCTGTTCAGAGTTTGAACAATAAAGCAATTAATGAGGCCCTCAACAATTTGTTAATTGAAGAAGAAGATTACCAAGGGCTTCGTACATCCATCGATGCATTTGATAACTTTGATAATATTGCACTGGCTCAAAAGCTGGAGAAACATGAACTAATAGAATTCAGACGCATCGCTGCATACCTTTATAAGGGCAACAACCGTTGGAAGCAATCAGTTGAACTCTGCAAGAAGGATCGGTTGTTCAAGGTATGGTTGTTTAAATACATTTTTTGCAGTATTCATTGTAAGAAACACTGTTCCTAAGTGTTACTTAGAGGGTACATGCTAACTGGTTGACTACTTTGTGGTGTGTGCCAGTCCCACAGTAGGGTATTTCTCACTGGCACACATCTGATTCCATAATAGGAAATAACTGTACAGCATGAAAATCAATTTGGCAGTTGAATCGATTATTTCGGAAAGGGCACAAATCACTAATTTGGACATATTCATATTTTTATGGGTTCAAGTTCTTAAAACCGTGTGTACAGCATATCTGAAAACGGCACGAGTTGAGTGTTCTGTTAACTACAGCAGGTTACATTCCTGTTCATTTTGAGAAAACCTGCTCTGATGCATAGTAAAAGTTGATGATGCTCAGTTTAATTAGGAAGGGACATGAGTAACAAAGGAAAAATAATTTGTTAAATAGTAAGATTCTGAAATAGAATTAAGTACCACACAGTTTGCAGGGAGATGTTGTAGTTCCTTTGCAAGATATCTGTTGGTTCTGACCATACTAGCAGCAGTAAAATAATTTTTTGTTGTGTCTCCTGTAAGGTTTGGTTCTGTTGGTTCATACCCTTTTCATAATAAATGGTTAAATTATTCTTACTCCACATTATGGCATTACATGTGTAAGTTTTAATATTGGCATATATAAAGTACCACTAGTGCACATCTGTAAGTTTGAGATTCTGTTATGTATGACATGTTTCATTTATTAAATTGTATTCATTAAGTATTTTGTGTCATGCACACAATGGATTTTACTCCCTTTACAAAATTGTTGAAGATACTGTTAAGTATTCGCAGCATTAATGTTTATATAATTCCTGCAATATGATGTAATTTCTTCTTGAATTCTTATTTAATTAAAATATCTGATATGTGATCACAATATTACTCTTAACTGCATGTTTTAGTGTAAATGTAATACCCAGATTATTGTCTTCTATTCATACATTCATCAGTGGCTCTACAGCCCTTTGTTGCACCCTAGCCTCTTCTCCAGTTTCATAATTTTTGTATACAGATGGTAGGAGTCCTTGGATGAGTGATTATCTTATAGTAGTAAGATGAAATTGCAATTAATCATGTGCAAATGATTTTATTTTGAATTTGTGCTGCAGTTAGTATTATGATGTAAGGATATACTTTATTATGTGTTACATAAATTAGAGATCTCCTCACATCTGATTCATGGTAACTCATTTGACACTGCACACCCTCAGATCATCATTTTCAGTTATCCTCCTGTTTGGTACATTGTTAAACGCACCAAGAATTAATCAGCTGTTTGCTGGTAAATTTCAGGGTACTTCGTATTATGTAAATACACTACAATCTGATTGCTTTGTAGGATGCAATGGAGTATGCAGCTGAATCAAAGAATGCAGAGGTCGCAGAGGAATTGTTGGCATGGTTTCTGGAAAAGGGGAGCCATGATTGTTTTGCTGCTTGTTTGTTTCAATGCTATGATCTGTTGCATCCTGATGTTATCCTGGAATTGGCCTGGAGACATAACATCATGGATTTTGCCATGCCGTATCTTATCCAGGTCACCAGAGAATATATAAGTAAGGTATGTTGCTTGTAGGATGTAAGAGAACTTCAAAACTATTTATCTGTATTGTGTTCTCCTTCATATGTAGGCCATATCCTTCATATCAGGAGTAAGGGTAGCTCAGACTATGTAAGGTCTAGGCTATGGGCTGGATGATAATGGAATCGAAGTTTGATTCTCAGTGAAGGAAATTGATTTTTATCTTCCCACAACATCCAGATGGGCTCTGAGGCTCACCCAGCCTCCTATGCAGTTTGTACCCGTTGCTCTTTCCTTAGGGGTGAAGCAGCATGGGCATGAAACTAATGATTCACATCCTTCAAATGCCAGAGTTACAAATGTGTGTAACTATGATTAACACTTTGATATTTTTAACGAATTTCTTGGGGTGGGGTGAGACAGCCCACTTGACACATCGCCTACTGTTTGGCCTATTGCACCAGTCCTGGATGATAGATGATGATGAGTGTGGAACAGTCAGAATGAGAATTGGCAGGGGAACTGAAGTACTCGGAGAAAACTTGCCGCAGGCTACTGTAGTGGGAAACTGTTAACTGCCTGACCTATGTCATGGCCTTTCTTTAACCTTTAACAGCCGAATGTTATAATTATTCACATCAAGTAGCAAGCAGAGCTGGCCGAATGTTATAATTTTTATGGGCAAGCCACGTGCTTCCTTTGTGAGTGCTGGCAGTTTGACCTTGGGTTTGAAACCCAAACAAACTCATGAACTTCATGCCAGACGTTTATTTGTTAGCTCTGAACAATGAAATCGTTTATCAGGGTACTGGTTTCGAAACTATTTACCTTTAGATATGACTGTTTATGACCTGGTGAGCCAATAGAGGTCAGCTTTGTTTTGAGAAGTTAGAGGAGGAAATATTCGTAAGCACTTTCATAGCAGTGCTACCAGAGCTTTCAAGGAAGTGTGGCTCATTCAGGGATTGGTTTGCAGTATTGAATTCTCAGTTAGGACGTCAGTGGCGGATTTTCTATATTTTGTTAAAAGTTAGGAAGTCAGTGTCAGACTCCTATATTTCTTTTATATCATTTTTATTGTTTATCTCGGAAGTGGTATAAACACACTGAGCCAGTGTTACTTTGTGCGTAAAGACATCTTCGTCACTGTGACTTTCGGTATCAGTGGCGGACTGGCACTTTTCGACTGCTATTGCAATTACTTTGCATCACAATTTTGCGAGTATTCTTCCACCTACTAGACATGACTATTCTCAATGAATATCTGTTACACAAGTCATGTGATGGAAAAATGATGCACAAAAATTTCCGCGAAATTTTGTTGCGTGATTTGATTCTTCAATCACATGAGACGAATATCACGGTCAGTGGTGTTTCTCGGGGGAGGCCAAGTTCATCTGGGGCCCAACTGAGTCGACTGGAGGTGAAGCATTCAAAACACTGGCCAGCTAAAGGGAAACAAAGATGTTTGTTCTATAAACAAGAAAAGCGAGAGCACGCTTTACCGCTGTAGAGGACGATGTCACATTGTGTGATGGACTGCTTCGAGAAATGGCACACGTGTCAGAGTGTAAACCGTGAACTGATGCAGTCCAAACTGTGTACAGTCCGAACCAAATATTGTATAGAGTGTCGTCATATTTACATCACCACCACGATTCAAGGTTGAAGAAAAACAACAGGTAAGTCCTTTGGAATTTCATAACGTATATAATAATGATTATATTTTGCACTTCATGACAAAATAATCACAGTTAATTTGCATTTGTAAAACTTGCCCTCTTGTATATATGTAGAAAATTTTATTGTCTTTCAGGTTCTTTTTAGTTCATATTCCGATGTTGCATAGAACG